CCAGACAGACAGATAACCCTACATGCTCAAACAACTTCCAATCAGCATTTTAGGGTCTTAAAGAATGAGCGAGTAACCAATGATCACCAAACATTTGAAGAAAAAACTTAATGAAAGACTGAAGCCAAGCAAAGAGAAAAAGCAACTAGGAAGATATTAAATAATTGGGAGGGTAAAAAAAGCGTATGCATACACATAAACATGTGTCATTAACATTCTTAGAAAAAGATCTTGTATCCACAAAACAAGAACAAAATGTATGAAAAAAATTCACAATTATAAAAAAGCTCTTGGAAATTTTTAAAAATTACAGAGACAAAAAATCAACTAAAGGTTTAGAAGATAAAAGTTGGGGGGGAATCCCCCCCAAAAGAACGAAAAGGTAAAAAAAAGGTAAAGCAAAGGATCACTCTAAGTGTTCAACACTGAAATGAGAAAAGAAAATGGTAGAAGAAATAACCAGAGATAATTTAAAAAACAAACAAACCCAAAATGAAAGTTAGCAGATTGAAAGGGCCTACCAAACATGCAGTGCATGAACACAGAAGGATTCCAACACATGTAATATTGTTTTCCCACTTAATACCATTTTGCACTGTGTTTCTATCATTTGCAACTGAAAAAGTCTTAAGACTCTGTGAACACAATGCAACATTTGTGGGGAACACGAGGAACAACAATAGGGTAGTAAGAACAACAGTAAATTTACCACCAAAAGATGTTAAAGCCACACTTTAAAATAACTGATAGGTAAAAAAAAAAATCTAAATGTAGTGAACAAGGGGTGCCTTGGGGGCTCAGTCGTTAAGCGATGGACTCTTGGTTTTGGCTCAGGTCATTATCTCAAGGTCTGTGAGACAGAGTCCTGCGTTATTGGGCTCTGAGCTCACAGCACAGAACCTGCTTGGGGTTCTCTCTCTCCTTCTCTCTGCCATAATCACATGCAAGGTCTTTCTCAAAATAAACTTAAAAAAATAAATAAATAAACGTATTGAAAAAATTATTCCTCAAGGGAGTTCATTTACTTAATGACAATGAAAATACTATGTATCTAAAGCTACGGGAGGGGCGCCGGGGTGGCTTAGTCGGTTAAGCGTCCAACTAAGGCTCAGGTCATGATCTCGCGGTTCGTGGGTTCGAGCCCCGCGTCAGGCTCTGTGCTGACTGCCAGCTCAGAGCCTGGAGCCTGTTTCAATCTGTGACTCCCTCTCTCTCTGACCCTCCCCTGCTCACGCTGTCTCTCTTCCTCTCCTAGAAATAAATAAAAATAAATAAATAAATAAACAAAGCTACGGGAAATGACTATATTTATGTACTGAGAGGTAATCATCACTTAAATGCTTTTATCATTTAAAAAAGAACAAACAAAAATTAAAATGAAGAGGCTAGAAGAGGGGTGCTCGGCTGGCTCAGTTGGCAGAGCATGAAACTCTTGATCTCAAGGTGGTGAATTCAGGCCCCATGTTGAGTGTAAAGCTTACTTTAAAAAAAAAAATTTAGGGGCGCCTGGGTGGCTTAGTCGGTTAAGCGTCCGACTTTCGCTTTGGTCATGATCTCGCGGTTTGTGGGTTTGAGCCCCGCTTCGGGCTCTGTGCTGACTGCCAGCTCAGAGCCTGGAGCCTGTTTCAGTCTGTGACTCCCTCTCTCTCTGACCCTCCCCTGCTCACGCTCTCTCTCTCTCCTAGAAATAAATAAAAACATTTTAAAAAAAATTTTTTTTTTTTTAAATTTAAATTTAGGGGCATCTGGGTGCCTCGGTAGGTTAAGCATCGAGTTCGAGCCCCGTGTCTGGCTCTGTGCTGACAGTTCAGAGCCTAGAGCCTGCTTTGGACTGTGTCTCCCTCTCTCTGCCCCTCTCCTGCTCCCACTCTGTCTCTCTCTTAAAAATAAATAACATTAAAAAATTTTTTTAAATAATCAAGAATAATTTAAAAATAATTTAAAAAATTAAACTTTACAAAATGAGAAAGAAAAAGAGCAGTACTAATGAAATTTAAAAATCAATAATAAAAGTGGTAAAATTTATTATTCAAACCAAAAGCTGGTTCTTTGAAATGAATTACATGTAATAACCTGCTATGCATAGTATACGATTTTTCTCAGCTCATCTGTATACAAATAGAATTAAAAAATTATCACAGACTAATCAGAATTCAAACAAAAATTAGGGCATCCAAGATGGTCAGAATTTATTAAACTCAAATGATAGAATGTACTTATTCTTTTGATACACTAAATTTACTGTTAAGAAAAAAGAGCACTGAATATAATAATGACTGACAGATACTACTCAAATGTACTTTAAGTATTAAAAAACCTCGCTGGAGTTTTCATGGGAAGGAAAAAAACAAAAAAAGAAAGCAGGTAGTCCTAAAATTATACCTTGCTTGAAGAAGCGGTTCTTTCCAAAGGGCAATTCAGCAATAAACATCAAATGCCTTGAACAAATGCACATCTTTGATTCTGACAACCCCACGCCTCTGAGAAATTTTTAAGAAGTGACCGGAGAAACATAAATATTTGCGAGTCAGGATTCAGACGGCAATAGGCAAAACAGTACTTGAAGTGCCAAACTGCAAACAAACCATATAAAGCCCCAGCTCCCCTTTTCCTCTCCCGCCTCTGCATCTCACCCAGTTGGTAAGGACAGGACATCCAGAACCTGGCCACTCCTCACCACCTCCAGTGCTACCACCCTGGCCCAAGCCACTGTTACCATCTGCCCTAATTTTTTGACTCCCTACTTTACTCTTGCCCTCTAACATCCACTCTCAGATAGTGGCCAGAGGAGTCCTTTAAAACCCCCAAGTCCAGGGCAGAGGAGGCTAGGGGGCCCAGTCAGTTAGGCTTAGGCATCCAACTTCAGCTCTGATCATGATCTCATGGTTTTTGAGTTCAAGCCCTGTGTCAGGCTTGATGCTGTAGCACAGAGCCTGCTTCAGATTCCGGGTCTCTCTCTCTCTCTCTCTCTCTCTGTCTCTCTCCCACATGTGCTCTGTTTCTCTGTCTTGCTCTCAAAATAAACACTAAAAAAAAAATCTTTTAAGCCCAAATCTAGTTATGTTAATCTTCTCCTCAAAAAACTCTCAAAAGCCTCTCCATCTCTCTCTAAAACAAAAGTCAAAACACCAGGTCAGTGGTTACAAGGCGTTTTCTGATTCTGCCCCACCATCCCCCTCTCTGCTCTCAACTACAACCCTCTGCACTCCAACTATACTGGTTTCACAGCTGTTCCCAGGACATATCAGGTACATTTATTCCTCAGGGCCTTTCTAGATACTGTTCCTTCCGCCCGGATATGCCTTTCTCCTAGAGATCCTTCATGGTTTGCTCCCTCCCCTCGGCTTGAATATAAACCTTGTCAGTGAGGTAATCTCCAAAACACTATTTAATTAAGGGGCAAGCCTCCACCACACAACCTCTTTCACCTTCCCACTCCATTTTTTCCCCACTGCATTCAACATCCTCTGACACACTATGTGTTTTTACTTGCTTGTTTACTGTCTCCCTAAACTAGAACATAAGGTCCATGAAAGCAGGGACATGTGTTTTATTTCTTCACCTCTGTATCCTTAAGACAATGCATGGCAAAGTAGGTCGTCATTAAATGTTACTGATTGATTTGGAACCCTGACAGTCATTATAAACAATGTTATAGGGGCGCCTGGGTGGCTCAGTCAGTTAAGCGTCCGACTTCGGTTCAGGTCATGATCTCACGGTTCATGGGTTTGAGCCCCACATCAGGCTCTATGCTGACAGCTCAGAGCCTGGAGCCTGCTTCAGATTCTGTGTCTTCCTCTCTTTCTGCCCTTCCCTGCCTTGCATTCTGTCTGTCAAAAATGAATAAAACCGTTAAAAAAATTTTTTTTAAGTTATAAAAAAGACAAGTGATGGAAAAAACTGATAAAGTGGAAAGAGGGTGTTATCCAAGAATATCCAAATCCATATATCAGAGACAAACTCACAAGAGAAATTAAATAATATTTTTAACTCCAAGGTAAAACCATTTCATAGTTTGTGGAATTCAGCTAAAGCAACTCTCAGAGGGAAATTTGTAGCTTTAAAATCTTATATTAGAACATGAGAAAGGCTTAAAATGAAGAGAATATATAGGATGAATATTCCAAATTTTTATCTAAAACATGTATATGAAAAAGTAGACATCAACATCTTATTCTGGTTATTTCTGGTGGCACAATTACAAGTGATTTGCTATTTCTTTTGTGTGGTTTTCAGTATTTTCTGTTTTGTTTTCTTTTTTTTTTTTTAATATTTTATTTATTTCTAGGAGAGAGAGAGAGACAGCGTGAGCAGGGGAGGGTCAGAGAAAGAGGGAGTCACAGACTGAAACAGGGTCCAGGCTCTGAGCTGGCAGTCAGCACAGAGCCCGACGCGGGGCCCGAACCCACGAACCGCGAGATCATGATCTAAGCGAAAGTCGGACGCTTAACCGACTAAGCCACCCAGGTGCCCCAAGTAATAAATATTTTAAAAGCTGGTCTCTAGGGGAGCCTGGGTGGCTCAGTCAGTTAAGCGTCCGACTTCAGCTCAGGTCATGATCTCATGGGTCATGAGTTCAAGTCCTGAATCGGCCTCTCTGCTGTCAACACAGAGCCTGCATGGGATTCTGTGTCCCCCTCTCTCTGTGCCTCCTCCTCTCAAAAATAAACATCAAAAAAATAAAAAAATAAAAACTAGTATCTAATTAATGACATTGGTACCCAAGTAAGAACCCACTTACTAGTCACCAAAGAAAGGAATCAAATTGGAGGAGGCTGGGGACTTACTGGGGGCACCATCCTTAGCAAAACAACTTGGCTTTGCAGCTAGCAAAGCATCAGAAGTACTTAGGTCAGGCAGCTTTCCTATCAGATGATGCCAGGTGCAACACAAACCACTCCTCCTTCCTGCCCATCTTCTACCCTGCAGTCAAGAGAACTTTCCAGGGGACAAAGTAATAAAATAAAGCTGGAGGGAGAAAGAACCTTCAAAATATTCTCATGCTCGCTTCAGCAGTACATATACTAAAACTGGACCTGATACAGAGAAGATGAGCACGGCCCCTGCACAGGATGACACTCAAAATATTCCCAAAGCAGAAACTTCTAGGGCAGAGTCCACACTTTGGTGTAACAAAGCATACAATACAAAGTATCTTCTATAGTGTTTAAAGACACATAGGATACAACTGAGAAACACTGGGGCACCCAGGTGGCTCAGTCAATTGAGCCTCCGACTCCTGATTTCGGCTCAGGTCATGATCTCACATAGTTTGTGAGATGAAGCCCTACAGTCAGGCTCTGCAGTGACAGGACAGTGCCCAGCCTGTTTCAGATTCTCTCTCTCCCTCTCTCTGCCCCTCCCCCACGCATGTGCTCTCTCAAAAATAAGTAAACATTTTAAAAAAGAAATCCTTACAAAACAAAAGTGAAAAAATATTAACCATCAGAGTTCTTATTCTTTTGGGAAGTGACAGAGGTGGTAGTTAGAAGTATAATTTTTCTTAGGGAAAAGCAAATATTTATCTTCTGCCACACTGCATGAAGATTTTCAATTGAATAAAATTCAGAAATAGAAAGTAGATTAATCACAATATCCCAAACGCCAACATTTTTGGTACTAGATACTGGTAAGAAGTAATGACAAAGAACAATTCAATAACAATGAAGATAATCCACTACCTTAAAAACCTGCACCTATTTTGAAGATTAAGAGAAATAAATCTGCCTAGAAATACAAATTTTAGTTAACATATTCTGTGTTAGGGGGTACATTCCTTCAACATAAGGAAGCATGTTTCCTCAGTTAACAGGAGGTGCCTGAATTATACAGACTACTGAAATACTCAAGGACACAACTCAAGCCACAAACTCAAGCCAATTAATCCAAAAGCAATCGAGTACCACCAGTTTATCGTCCATACTAATTCATTTTACATGATCACTTCTAGGTACATGGATAGGTTCTAACAGAAGCCCACATGATTTCTCTAGAAATAATCTCCATTCTCTGGTATATTTTTATACTCCAATTCTCCTTCCCCATCCTTGCTAGATCATCAAAGACTACTATTCTACCACCCATAAAAATTGATTTTAAGTTTATTTTGAGAGAGAGAGAGAGGCAGAGAGAGAATCCAAGCAGGCTATGCACTGTAAGCACACAGCCTGACACCAGGCTCGATCCCATGAACTTTGAGATCATGACTTGAGCAGAGATCAAGAGCTGGATGCTTAACACACTGAGCCACCCAGATGCCCCTATAATTATTTTATGAACATTAGCAACCTGATAATGGGGACAATGTAGACAAAAAAAAGAAAAGAAAAGAAAAGAAAAGAAAAATCCTAAAATACCACCAGGGCTTTAAAATTATTAGACTACGTATCAGGAAAGGCCTGTTTTAAAACAAAGATGATAGACCAGAGAAGGCTTGGGTTCACTTTAATAGTATTAAACTCAGCAGTCAAAATAAAAATAACAAAAATAAGAAACATCCTTCAGTTCTAGGAAATTTCTGTAAACTAAAATATCTGTATTAAGCACCTCTCTTCAGGTTTTCCCCAGAGAAAAATAAGAATGTACACACAGCATTCAAAAATGCACAGTCAAAACATAAAACTAACAGAAAACACCTCATGCAATTTGGTTATTCATTATGGCCAAACTGGTAACCTGCTAGACTACTATTCAAAAGAAAAAGCGGTCCTGTTTAGATTCTCCTTTCTCATCAATTACATGCATCCTAAAAGAGTAACAATTTCGAATCTTACTAGTACTGGATTTCCTTATTAGGACATACGATGTAAATAAATAATTAAAAAAAGTTGTACAAAATTCTAGCAAAACTTTACACTAATTCAGAAATAGTCCTTTTCTCAATTTTCAGAGGGCCTTACTTCATATATACCCAAAGATTCGCACAACCTGGCACTGAATAAACTCATTAATACTGTGATACATACTAAGAAATTAGATCTAATTTTTAAAATAAGGTTCAGCATCTGAAAAAATATGTATTAAACAAAAGTAAGATCCATCTGGTTTCCTATATCTCAAGCTGAGGAGAATCTTGCTTCTATCAAGTTTCCCTGATGAACCTACCCATTGAATTAGAAGCAAAAATCTCATTAAAGCAAATGCCACTATGAAGATGTGTGTTTCACATTAAGTGAGCTCCATCCACCTGTCTCAACTAGGATTCAAGGCGCTGGCACATCGATTTGCTCCCACTTGCTTAGGATTCCAGTCTGTGTACAGACCTGGTTAAGAAAGGCTGCCGCAAGTCCCAGAGTGTTATTAGGCTCCAATCATCCTAACCCCCAAAGTATTAAACAAAAAAAAAAAAAAAAAAAAAAAACCTAAGTGCTCAAAACTAGGAACTTCAAGAAGAGAAAAGATAAATTTGCTTTACTTCTACTTTCAGGAACCAGGTTTTTTTCATTTGCTAATTTACTATGAATTAATAGCAATAGCATGAGTGTCAACTATTTTCCCCTGCTCTAAATGGAAGGGATTTCTTTTCCTTTGAGAAAATAAACCCCTTCAGATATACTGTTAAAGGAAATTACCAGCCCTTAAAAAAAAAAAGGAGATAGTAATCAGTATATTAAAGAAATGAGATATTAATTTGAAAGGCGATTATTTCTTTATCAAGCTTTTAAATACATCTATCTTTTGATGATCATGACTGCTAAATGGAAATTTTCACTTTAACAATAATTTTTAACTTTTTTCTTTTTTAAAGTTTATCTATTTTGAGAGAGAGAGAGAGAGACAGAATCCCAAACAGGCTCCACACCATCAGCGCAGAGGCCGAAGCAGGACTCGAACCCACAAACTCTGAGATCATCAAGAGTCAGATCAAGAGTCAGATGCTTAAACAACTGTGCCACCCAGGCGCCCCTTAAGCTCCCATTCTCAGGAAACTCTTCTGCTACTCCTCAATGTAGTGACTACAGCCGTGTTAATTAAGATCAAACTAACCTTTAACTGCGTTAATTCTGATCAAATCACAATAAGGACAGCACCAGTTCTTTTTCTCAAAAAACGAAAAGCCTGTTTTTAATGGCCCAATTTTAGGAAATGTCAATATTTCTATTTATGTATCAAAACTATAACAAGGAATTAAAGTAAGATAAAAAGTTATTCTATACTGAATGTGCAAAACAGCATTAAAAACAGGGAAAAAACTAAGCATGACATTCTCATTTTCAATTTATGCTAACGTGAATATTGATAGTACAGAACATTAGGACAGATAAACCACATTACTGAACATTCCGCTTCACCAACTCAAATCTCTCACATTTGTAAACCTGAATAAAAGGGCCACAAAAATGGAGGGGACGGTGTTTTCATTGTTCTAGCTGCACTCACTTGTGAACACAACGCAATGGTATGGGGAGGTTTATCTTCTACGGTCAGCATCTCTAATCAGATTAAACTTCAATTTCTTTTCATGAACTGGGAAAGGAGGGGTTACTGTATTAGCCGTTTTCAGGCAAAGTAAATCACCACTGAACACGCGAGGAGGCCAAATTCAGCTTCCTCGGATCAAGTGCACCCTTCCTCTGTTTCTACATAAAGGCACATCATTTTGCTACTGAAAATGCCCATTTCTCACAAGTGACTTTCCCTGAACTTGTCAACACTGCTTTTCGGAAGCACCTCGGCTTTTACTGCATCTTTTGGGCCGTCTTGAGAATTCGCTTCTCTTTAAGAAACTGGTTTCAATGTTTAAAGTGCCCTGTCCAAATTAAGAGGAGCTCTCATTAACCATTACCTAAAGGAGCAGTTCACGGGGGTCAAAAATACATTTTTCACCACACATCCAACCAACTAAACTGTTCGCAGGAGGTGGGGCTATTTACAGAGACTTAAGAATTAGTTTTATATTAACAGCCAGTCCAAAGGAGAGAACTCCCTCCTTTTGCAAATACTCCTATGTTCCTGTGAGACCCTGTGACTCTCGGCCTTCAGAAAGTGCTCACCACCCGCGTCCCCAGTTAAGCACTACGTTTTGGCAATGGGTCTTCGGCTCACTTCCTGATACTAAAAGCCACAAGCACGAGGGCTGTTGCGTCGGTTGGTTTCAAAAAAACAATCTTCGCTCCGTTCACCCCAAGGGGAAAACATGTGCTTCCTCTACCGGGGACCCACTCCGAGGCGGCGGTGCACTCGGTGTCTAAAGACCGAAGCCCAGAGAGCAGCGCGAGCGGCGGCGCCAGGGTTAAGTGGCGCTTCCCCCCCCCCACCCCACCCAGGGGGGTGAGCGGGCCGCACGGCAAAGCCAAAGCCACGGCGCTCAGGCTGAAGGAGAAAAAGGGGAAGGGTAAGCGCCAGCACGTGCCGCCCGCGGGAGGCAGGGAACCGGGGCGCCGGAGAGGGGAGGGGGCCGTACCTCCAAACATGTGCGGCGAGAGGTGAGCTGGTAAGGAGCCGATCACCAGGCGCGGTCCGCCGGGGCCCCCGCCCGCCGGCCGGTCCCTGCCGCCGCCGCCGTCCTCAGGGCTGCTGTGCACCGAGTCCTGCGAGCCGTACGGGCCGCTGCTGCTGTTGGGGATGTTGAACGAGGACTGCGCCGCGCGGGCCGCCGACGCCACGCTCCCCACGGCCCCGCCGAGGGAGCGGCTGCGCGGGGCCGCTGAGGCCGCCGCGGCGCCGCCCGAGGCGCTGGGCTGGTGCGCGCCGGACACCTGAGCCGGAAACCTCCCCGGGGCCGCGGCCCGCGCCCCTCCGCCGCCGGCGCCGCCACCGCCCGCGGTCCCATTGGCCCCTCCGCTGCTGCTGGAAGGTAGATCCGAGCCCGAGTAGGCGCGGGTGCGGCCGTTAGCAGCGGCCGGGCCGCTCTGCTTGGCGCCCATGTCCGCCCAGCCCCGGGCCGGGCCCGCGCGCGGCGCCCGGAGCGCGGGGAGGGCGGGAGCGAGCGCAGGAGCGAGCGAGAAGGGCCGAGGCGCCGCGACCCGCGCAAGGAGAAGCCCGCACGTCCAGGACCGCCGCCCCGCGCCCCGAAGGGCGGTCGGCGCCCGGCGCGCTCCTGTGCTCGGGGGCGGCGGTCGAGACCGGCGGCCTGCGGGAGGTCGCAGGAAACGAGGAGAGGCGGAG